CACAGACACAGACACACACACAGACACAGACACAGACACAGACAGACACAGACACAGACACAGACACAGACACAGACACAGGACACAGACACAGACACAGACACAACACAGACACAGACACAGCACACAGACACAGACACAGACACAGACACAGACACAGACACAGACACAGACACAGACACAGACACAGACACAGACACAGACACAGACACAGACACAGACACAGACACAGACACAGACACAGACACAGACACAGACACAGACACAGACACAGACACAGACACAGACACAGACACAGACACAGACACAGACACAGACACAGACACAGACACAGACACAGACACAGACACAGACACAGACACAGACACAGACACAGAGACACAGACACAGACACAGACACAGACACAGACACAGACACAGACACAGACACAGACACAGACACAGACACAGACACAGACACAGACACAGACACAGACACAGACACAGACACAGACACAGACACAGACACAGACACAGACACAGACACAGACACAGACACAGACACAGACACAGACACAGACACAGACACAGACACAGACACAGACACAGACACAGACACAGACACAGACACAGACACAGACACAGACACAGACACACACACAGACACAGACAGACACACAGACAGACACACAGACACAGACACAGACACACAGACACGACACACAGACACACACACACACACACACACACACACACAGACACACACACACACACACACCACACACACACACACACACACACACACACACACACACACACACACACACACACACACACACACACACACACACACACACACACACACACACACACACACACACACACACACACACACACACACACACACACACACACACACACACACACACACACACACACACACACACACACACACACACACACACACACACACACACACACACACACACACACACACACACACACACACACACACACACACACACACACACACACACACACACACACACACACACACACACACACACACACACACACACACACACACACACACACACACACACACACACACACACACACACACACACACACACAGAGACACGCACAAATTGCCGACAGGTCGCGGTGGCGCAGGAGAGCCTGCAGGTGCCAGTGTGAGAACGCATGTCCTGTCTCATGCGTCGTTCGGTCTAGACGGTTGCGTTGGACGTGTGGTGTCTGCTGGGTCGACCAGAGTTTTGCAAATCCAGCAAAGCATGATGTGCGGTGCATGCATGCAGGAGCGGGTGCTGAGCGTTGAAGGCTCTGTGGCTGGCGTTGCTTTTCCTAGAATGTGCGTGATTGGTTCCGGTGTTGATTTGGCCTGTCTGGAGCAGCCTGGCCTGGGGGGGCCTCCCCGGTACTTCAGATTCAAATCCAGTTTCACGCAGCTTTGCAACCAGTTTTCAACCCAGGTTCCAACCCAGTTTCAACCCAGGTTCCAATCCAGATCCAATCCAGTCCAGCTTCCAACCCAACCCAGGTTCCAACCCAGATTGAACTCAGATTGGAACCCAGGTTGAACCTGACGTTCAACCTAGGTTCAAACCCAGTGCTGGCAATGCTTTCTTCTCTGCAACGCCTCTGTTCGGCCTCTAGATGCCTTTGAGTCTCTCATCGACTTCAACGGTTGCTGCTCATTGTGAGAGAGCCTCCAAATCAAGTGCTCTTGAGGGTATTCGGCCAGACCAAGCCCTCCAAAGCAATCCAAGGGGCAATGTTGCACTGGAGGACTGACTGAAAGTACAAACAATTTAAAGAAGATGAGAAGATGCACCTCCATTTTGTTTGCAAAGGGCAGAGTGTAGGAGTTAAGCACATTTCTCGACATACGAACCATCACCCAAGCCTCTCGACACCACCACTGTGCACGGTTTTGAGCTGCTCTGTTTCGAAACGCTGGAGTCACCTCTCGGAAAATTTCGGAGTGCATCATGCGCTTCCTGCGAACCCGACTGTTTCTTTCTTTAAGCTGGGTTTTGAAACCCAGGTTTGAGCAAGTGTTTTGGAGAACAAGGTTGTTCAAACCCAGGTTCGAAACTGGGACCCAGATTCGAACCGAGGTTTGACAGGCAGCCCGGGCCTGGGTTGATGAGACTGCCCAAGCACACAGTGAACAGGAGGTTGTCCCATGTCGCCGGCCCTTCGATGCTGGTGCATGTGTGCCATTGCGCAAATCTGAGCGGTGACAGTTGCTTGCTTTGCGCATGTCTTGCCGAACGACCTCTGTCGCGGCCTGTTTCAGCTTGTTATTATCTTTCTTTGTACTGTTCTTGTTTTTCTTGTAGTTCTTGCTGCAACCTGCTGTCGTTGACCCGCCCCCGCCCAAGCCCGCCAAAAAGTAACACTCATACTTTCTTGCATTGGGGCAATGCTTTCTTCTCTGCACGCCTCTGTTCGCGCGCAAGGCCTCTAGAGGTCTTTGGGTCTCTGGTCGACATTCTTTAACGGTTGCTGGAACATGCTGCTTTGTGGATGCTTGTACAAAACCGCTCCGTCCTGGCAAACACGACACCTCAGTGATGCTGCAATTTGAAAGGCCGCGATCCCTGCAAGCTTAAGTCTGCAAGTCGCGGCCGGTTTCACCTTTACATGATTCTTTTGTACAGCTCTTTATTGTATTCTTGTGGTTCTTGTTGTTCTTACTGGGACCGAGTGCAGCAACGTCTTTGAGGTCCGCACGCCAAAAAGACATTCTTCAACGGTTGCTGCTCATTTGGACAGAGCCTCCAAAATCACATCTGCTGCTCAGAGTGTGGAAGTTAAGCATTTCTCGACTCTCGATACCACCTCTGTGCACGGTTTGAGCTGCTCTGTTTGAAAACGTTGGAGTCACCTCTTGGAAAATTTCGCAGTGCATCATGCGCTTCCTGCGAACCCGTTTTCAGGGTCCGAGAAATTACCAAAAACATACTACACATCAGAGGCCCCCTAGAGTAGATGTCCAGAGCCGTCTACTGCATGAACATGCGCTTCGAAAAGCGGTGGTGTCCTGACTCTGCCTGAAAGAGGAGAGGTTTTGCATGTTTTCGACACCGAGCATGAGAACACCACGTAGACACCACGCTCCGGTAGATTTTGGAGGGCCTGGGACAGCAACAGACGTGGTTTGGAGGCCTGGGACCAAAGTTAAAAGCAGCAGACCCAAAGCTGCCAGTGAGCAGGAGCTTTTTCACAGCTTCGCGGAGTGGCCCTTGTTCCTCAACCCCCGATTCAATAGCAGAAAAAAAAACTTGAAGCGGGATATGTCCTTGAATCCCAGTTTTTGCAAGGGAAGGCTTACTTCGCGGTCCGTCCCGGTTTCACGCAGTGTTTTAGGATGTGGTGAAAGAGGTAGTATTTGTGGGGAATTTGCACCTTCTGACAGAGTCGCACGGAGTAGTGGGGTACGGAGTAGCTGCAACTGTAGCAGTTGCTACGAATTCGTGACTCCATGCGACGTTTTAGTAAACCAAAATAGAAAGAGCTGGTATAGTTTGAACGTCTCAGCGAGTCGCGCGGAGTAGTGGGGCACGGAGTAGCTGAAACTGTTGCACTTGCTACGAATTCGTTACTCCATGCGACGTTTTGGTAAATCAGACTAGACAAGCTGGTATAGTTTGAAGCAAGTCAAAACGTCTCAGCGGCCCTACAGGAGGGTTTAGGACAATAGCAACCCGCGTGCTTTCAGTCGAAACCGCACGCTTGATGTTGTGTGTTGGGTTTAACGTTTTTTGCGGATGGGGTTCCACACAATGAAACATAACAGAGAACATGTTCGGGGCCCAAAACCGCCCAATCCACTTATGTGGTGATATGGTCTGTTGTGGCCTCTAAATGGCCCTGACATGGCCTGAAATCCACACGTTTGTGGCCCTGATGTGGCCGGAAAACCACACGTTTGTGGCCTCTCGTGGCTTCAAAACCACACGTTTGTGGCCGGATGTGGCCTCCAAGCCGCACGTTTGTGACCTTGATGTGGCCTGAAAACCACACGTTTGTGGCCTCTTGTGGCCTCAAAGCCACACGTTTGTGCCCCTGACATGGCTCGAAAACCACACGTTTGTGGCCTGTCGTGGCCTCTTGTGGCCTCAAACCACACGTTTGTGGCCTGTTGTGGCCGTGTTGTGGCCTCGCTGGCTCGCTGGCTAGTTTTCCCAAGGAAAGATCGCATTTGTGGTCGAGACCCTATAATACTCTTCAAGGCGAAGCAGACTAGCGACATGAGGCGCCAGATCAGAATTTCAGTCCAGTGTTTTTCCCAAGTCGCTTGCCCTGACCCCGAAAAGCAAACCGAAATTGTAAGCTGCACAGGGCAAACTCATGTGGCAGCCTCTAGAGTATCCCGGACCTTGTCTCGACCTTCATTTTGACAGATTTGACGGGTTCATGTTCGAGACCGAAAAACCCTTCGAAAACGTGTGCGCCGCACGGGCCTCCCCAGAACTCAAACAAAAGAACAGCACGAGGTGAAGGGCGAACATGGCCACGTGTCAGCTGTAGCGTGCGTCAAAAAGAGCCACATTCAGCGACTCAGCAATAACAGTGGTTCTGGACCTCTGGAGCTCTGAGCACTAGGAAGTTTCCTAGAGTGGTTAATTGTGTCACTTCCTGGGCAGACGTGACACCCAGTCAGCAAGTGCGCCACAACAGAATTCAAAACGGACAATCCAAGGTCGGAGATCCGAGATCGGAGTCCGCAGAGGTCCGAGGTTAGGTGAGGTCCGAGGTAAGGTCAAGGGTGCTTGGACTGGAGTGGAAACTTGGAAACTTGCCGTGAAGTGGAGCTGTTTCAGAGTCTTTTAAAGTGTTACCTGTTTTGGTTCAGGAATGTTTTCGGAGCTTGCGAATCTTTACACGTGACATGCCGTCGTGTAGCCTGGCTCTAGCACTTGCAGTTCTCGAAAAGCGAGATTAGCCGTAACTACTGCCCGAGTAGTTCGTTCTCTCCTTAGCGTGAAGCCATGTTGCCTGTGTCCATAGTTGTGCCCATCACGCGACTAGCCTTTGAGCCTGACTCGCCCAGGCCTTTGCCTCCGCGGTGGATTCGTCCCCCGGACTTTGCCTCTGCCCCAGTTGTTCTTGCCTCCCACGATTGGGACTGGTTTCTGGTGACACTCATAGAATGTTTTGCCTTGGCCCCGCACGAAGGCCAGCCTTTAGAGCCTTGCCTCCAAGAGTTCCTTTTCTCCTGGACTGTCTGCCCTCGCATATTAGCTTGCCTTCATGTCCACGAGTGGTTGCCGCTGGTTCTTGCCAATGATGAGTGTCACCAGCTCATGTTTGAAATGCTCTTCTAAGCCTTTCTGCACCGAGGTACTCGCCGGGAGCTGAACCCCACATGCCTCCTGCTCTGTCAGTGCCTAGCCAGGATACATACTTCGTGCCTTTGCGCATTTTGCCTTATGAATGGCATTTGCCAGGACTCTTTGATGCCTTGCCTTTGCCTGGAATCATGGGCCAGCCCTGTGGCTCTCGCTTTCAGGATACTCTGCTCTCAGGCACAATCGGCGCTCGCATTCTCCTTTTTGCAGGTGGGCCATCGTGGCTGCCTCTAGCCTTGCTTTCCCGAGAGACTCATGAGTACCTGGTTTCCCATCTAGATGTGACTGACTGATCGTCGTGCCCAACCCCAGCAGCCAGTGCCCTAGATGCCTTCTGCCGGTTCCACGTGGCTCGGCCCTGAGCCTATCGAGCCTGACTGCGAGCTTTCGCCCTGGTGCCTCCCATGCAGCAGCCGCTCCCTCTGCTGTGCCGCCTTCCCAGCCTCAGCCGGATCATGCAGCTTTGCCTTTAGGGGGAGGCTACATCAGCTACGACTTTCTGCCCCCAGCCTACTTTGAGAGGTTTAATGTCTCCTTCAAGGGGACAGACGAGGCCAGCCATGCTTCGGGTAGCCTCTGGATTGCACATGACAGCCCTGTCCCCACCACTCCCACCGCGACCTTTCAAGCCTCCAGCTTAGACTTATAACCTTGATTCCGTGGTAACCACTGGGTGTTATGAAATAATTTTTTCTTGATAAGTGACCCCGAATCTGTGAGGCCAATGTGTGCAGAATCTGTCCAGGGATGTTTTGGCCAGGACTCATGTGTGCAGAATGTGAGCAGCATCTGTCCAGAATCTGAAGTTCACTTGTGTAGGAATCTGTGCAGAATCTGTCCAGGGTACTGTCTAGCGCTTTGCATGCAGGCTCCAACGTGTCTAGAATCTGTCCATGGAACTGTCGAGGGGCACGAGCCTTGTTCTTTCGGGTGTGTTCAGTTTCTGCCCTCAAAACTGATCAGCAACGGTGCTCTAGCTCCAGTGAAACGGAACACAAAGATCGGTAAACCAGCAGATTTTATGGATAGGTGCTCCTGTCGACCCGTTTGGCGTTGGCAGCCAGAAAATTGCAATTCCAACAAATTCCAATTGAATTTTGCCATTTTGACAGATTTTAGCAATTGAAGCAAACTCAAGCAAATTGAACTTTTGCAGGTGTTTGGTGAAAGATTGACCTTCTGAGCAGGCCATTCAGGTGGGCCTGGGCCAGCCCCAAAGCGTCTGCTTGGATTTGCTCTGAAGTATCATTTTGCCAACGCGTACCAGCTTCGAAAAGCATTCCCACCGCAAAACCAGCAACATTTGGGAATTGGTCATCCGGGCTTGGTTCAGGGAGTGGATTCCCGCCGGAAAAGTGGCACAGAGTTTTAGGTGAGAACCGGAGCCCATCGAAGCCCAGCGGAACCCACAGGAATCCCACCCAAAACAGCCTTTAAACATACAAAAAAATTACTGAAGATGCGAAAATGCAGCAGAAAAGAGCAAAAGCCACCCTGCACAAAAAACGAAATTGAATGGAATCCAGCGAAAAAGACCAACAGCGCCATGAAACGCTCTGTTGTGCAACTGCGTCTGGCGGGACTCCCCGCCAGGAAACGCAGCCCCAATTTCACTAAGGCCAGGGCCAGCCGGCCTGGCTTGTGGTGGGTCGGAGACACTGGGAGGTGTTGGGGGGAGGGATTGGCAGAGCCTGGAAGAGAGAGGCTGAAGTGTGGGAGGCAGTGGACGGTCTAAATCTAGGAGTAGTGGAGGACGCTTTGTGATGCCCTGGCAGCAGGAAGTTATTTCTTATAACATGACACAAATGAAGCGGAGTGTAGGTTAGGGCAGATCGGCGTACTAAAGTTCTGAATAAGCTGGCGCAAGCCAGGTGTGCAAAGCTAGAATTGCTTTGGCCTGAGACGGGAAGGCCCAGATGCCCAGTGAATGCATGATTCTCTGTATCTCATAGCTTGTGCCGGTTGAGAATCAGTACGATCCAGCAGGACGAAGTGCTCTGATGATTGATCGGAGTATGTTGCAAGATTGGGAAGTCACTGTGCTGCTTTTGTCATGTTGCCTCTGACAAGTTCAAATTTGCAGTGTCTGCTTACAAGTCTCGTTGGAGAATCTCTTGGTGTGACACATTGTGAGGTCGAAATCCCCGTCTCAGCTCGTGTGCTTGCTTGCAACACATTTTTGCTGTTGCATTAGGGAGGCCGGAAACCGCGACCAATTGATGGTCGTGGAATGGCAGCAACTCATCGCACTGAAACTTTGTTTCCGTGACCGCAACCGAGAACTCAGCACCGGTGTTGATTCTGATTTGTCAAATTTTCTTTGTAAACAGGTGCGAGTTTGTGCAAGCATCCACTCCCTTTTTACGGTTACTTGGCATGTCAAGCAAAAATGGCCCGGGAAGACCAGAGACCTCTGGGGTCCAGAATGTACAGGGGCCAATTTTTGAAGATAAACTCTCGTGCACGGTTTTGCGAACGTCCTGTGCAACACATCCGACAGAGCAGCGATTGGGCATGTCTGTCACGTTTTCGAACGGGGTCTATTGCATGATGGAAAACGTAGCACAGCCGTTGCGCAGTAAATTTTTTAACAGGACAAAAGTGCCCTTGCAAAGTTTTCAAGTTGAACAGCATAGCATTCTCAGGACACTTTGGTTTTTCAAATTTTTTACATGAAGTCTGCGTTGTCCATGGTGATTCGCTTATTCTGGAGCAGTTCCTTTTGACGCAACTCCGCGAATAGCGGATGAAGCTTTATTTTCCCCTGTGTCAAAAATTTTGGTTTGTCAAACAAACTCAAAATTTAGGGCGTGAGTTTTGTCAAAGTTTTCCCAACACAAGACATGACAGTTCATGTTTGAAGAATCTTGATGAAGTCTTTGTTACGCCGTCCGTCAGTTGGCTCCACAGGGTGGTGGGAGCTGGCTCCTTTCGACGTTGCCTCTAGGGCTCCGTGCACGCCTCCTTAGGAGGCAGATGGAAGCAAATGCTGATTCTTCTCTTGTGGCTTCAGAGCTACGGGGGCAGAGTCAGGAAGCCACAGGTGTTGAAGAGTCTGATGTGTGCACTAGCATGCCGCTTCCTGCTGAAAGTGAATTGAACTTTGACAGAACTCTTGAGCTGCTAGGAGAAGAGCTTGAGGAAACAGGAACAGGGCGGCCTTTGCCTTCGCATCTTGATGCCTTCATGCCTTCAGAAATAGATAGTGAGCAGGGAGCAGCTTGCATGCGCGATCGAGAGGCTGCAAGGGAAGTGGCCAGTTGTGTTGACAGCAGCCTGCTAAATGATGCCTTGGAGGATTCTGTGCTTGCTCTGGGTAGGAGTGTAGTAGACATTCCTTTGCCTTGGGAGCAGGAGAGCATGAGCTTGGTGTTCGGTGAAGATGACTCAGTGACAAAGCTTTTGGCAGGCCTCCCGAAGCACATACCTGTGCCTGCTGTGTCCAGCACCAACATTCAGCCTTCAGACCTTGTTGCCGAGCCACCGGCAAAACGCGCACGACAAATGCCTGAGAGTGGGGAGTGTTTCAGGGTTGCTATTTCTTCGAGGGCCTACGACAGTTATGAGGAAAAGGAAGAGGCTCAATGGCGACGTGCTCTTGAGAAGTGGCTGGTCATTCTTACTGAGTGCCCGGGTTCGTCATATATCGGAGAAACAGTTGCCATCCAAAAGACGGATGACGCGATTGAAACCTTGCGTGAACTCTTTGGGCGAAAGAGTGGCAGTACAGTCATGAAAAGGGGATCGGCCCTCATGGGATACCTCTCATGGGGGCGAAAGGAATGCAGGGCCGATGACCTGTTCCCTTTCAAGTCTGCGCATCTAGATGGATACTTGAAGCACCTGAAGAGCGAAAAGAGGCCCGCCGGGGCTTTCACCAGTTTTCAGGAGTGCGTGAACTTCGCTATACATGTGGTCGGCATTGCTGTCGACGAGACAGTCCTAGGACCGAAGCAAAGCACTGTGTGGAGCCATTGGAGTAAAGGCGTCATCGGTCAGGCTCAGCTGACCAAGGCAGAGCGGAAGCAGGCCACGGTCCTGCTTGTGGCATACGTTGCAGCCCTGGAACGTATGCTCGAAGATGAGTCTGTTAACAGCTTTGATCGTTACGCCTGCGGTGCAATTTTGTTTGGGATCTTCTCTCGGAGCCGAGTGTCGGATTTGAGAAAAACATTCGGTTGGTTCCTTGACTTCAGTGAACTTGGAAGTGGAGGGGAAGGTTTCATAGAGTGCAAGACGCGAGACCACAAGACTGCCAATGCTGTGGCTCATACAGGTTTCAGCATGCCCTTGGTTGCGCCTGCGCGAGGAGTTACATCTTCAGCATGGGCCGTGACGTGGGCCAAGGTTGCAGAAGATGTCGGTTTGGGTTTTAGTTCCACCCGAGTAGGACCCGTGCTTCCTGCACCTGATCAGAAGGGGGGCTGGACTCGACGATGTGTCGATTCGGGAGAGGTCACCAAGTGGATGCGTGCGTTGCTTGACAAGGCTGGTTGCGATGTGCCTGAGTCGTCGACCTCGCATGCCATCAAAGGGACGTCTTTAAGCTGGTGCTCTAAGTATGGAATGGATAAGCATACCCGCCTGCGCCTAGGACATCATAGCTCGGGCGACGGATCCTTAGATGCCTACGGGCGCGACAACCTTGCGCCAGCCCTCTTGAAATACACTGAAATGTTGGGAAGCATCAGACGAGGTGTGTTCATGCCTGACTTGAGCAGATCAGGACGGTTCGCTGATCGTCCGATTGTGAAAGTCGAAGTGTCTGAGGATGAGGCTGCATCGCCGAGTCTGCCTGCGTTTGATGCTTCTGAAGAGCTGAATCGTTCGAGAAGGTCGATGCTGTTGCCACTCCGTTAGCAGACCCTGCAACTTGTGGAGAACAGGGCCGCGAGAGTGAGTCGAGCGACAGCTCGAGCGAGTCGGAGCCTGAGTCCGGTGATGAATGGGTTAAGGGCGAGGACTTCCGACACCCAGCGAGCAAGCCTAGCACCTGGAGGCCTGAGGCCACCATGTACAAACATTCTAGGACTGGCGTTGTTCATCTCATGAGTGCTGGGAGCTCAGATGGGCTTTTCATATGCGGAAGGGCCCTCACCAATGATCATGTGGAAGTCAGCGGTGTGCCGTTCCTTGAGTTGCGAAAGTGCAAGCAATGTGATTCGGGTCGGCCGGTTAGAGATGTGGGCAGCTTGAGTGCTGCGCTGCAGCAGATTATAAAATGCAAAGATAAGTGATCGAATCTTGTCCATGTGGGGCGAAAGAAAAGCGAAGTGCGCTTCGAGAGCAGATGAGGTTCATCTGAGAGTCAAGTTCGGCTGCGAGTGCAAAGGTTCTGAATGAGCTACGTTCCTTTGCTCGAAGTTTTGCTCAAGTGGAGAAAACATGTGAACAGGCATGAGTGTGTTCCGTGTTCACTGACGAGTGAGACATGATGGAAACACATGTTAGGAGCGGCTTGTGAACGTGGCATGTGACATCATGATTTGACATGTTTTCTGATCGGTAGGTCTGTGCTGTGTGACTTGCTGAGGGATCATGGGCTCGTTAACGGAATCCACAGCAGCTTTCGCATCGAGGGCGAAAGAGATCGGCTTGACTCAAGCCGATGTGGCCACGATAACGGGGACCGGAGTGGATACACTTTCCAAATTAGCTTTTGCAACAGTACCGCCGGGCCAGTCCCCGAGCGATGATCAGGTACAGCGGCTCTTCGGGGCCACACCCATTACGGCGGGGACGATGGCTGCAGCCAAGCATTTGATCTTTGAGGCCCATACCCTCGTAGTCCAAGAGTTAAAAACCCGAGTTCAGAGGGGAGACTCTGGAGCACCTTCGACGCTTGCCACCGCCGAGAGGGAAGAGCGCATCACAGAGCAGCGCGCAAGGATCACGGGCCTTCTGCATCGTGGTGTCGAAGAACCTAGCCATGCCTCTTATGACTTGGTGTATTCCATGCTGTCAGCGGACTCCTTGACGTACTTAGGGCCAGATAGGTTTCCAACCCGACAGTCGGAACTTCAGGGCAAGAAGCCGGGGAAGGAGCTCACCATCGACGGAAACAGTGTGACGGTGAGGGACAAGGTGCCTCATCAAACTTGCACAACGGGGACAGAACTTGAGCTTGCGCAGGCTCTGAGGCGTCGGGCCTTAGCATTTGATTTAGTCAAGTGCGCCAGTTATGACACCATGAATCGGTATCACTCGTCCTTGATTCATCGGCTGCAGGAGTTGCCACCGCCTACTTATGTGAAGATTTCGGTGGCACAGGTACTTAGGGCGGACAGGGCAGCTTTCACACGCATTGCTGAAAATCTTCCCTCAATCAAGCGTCAGCCCGATGGGACTTTGCCTTTAGATCGAGCCCTTGAGAACATTCTGCAGGATCCCAGCATCAGCTTCCACTTGTTACCTTTGAAAGGTGGAGAGATCGATGATAACAAACGGAAGTGGACAGATGACGCCAAAAAGACCGATGAGCCGACCAAGTGGAAAAAGAATGGCAAGGGAAAGGGCAAGGGCAAAGGCAAGGATCAGCCAGGAGTTAAAGGGGCCAAATTCATCAAGATGCCGAAGCAGCTCGTCGGGAAAGCCAGCGAGACCAACGAAGGAAAGAGGTTGTGTTGGGCATACAACATTGATGGATGTCCCAATGCTGCTGACGGCGAGGAGTGTCCTCGCGGATGGCACTTGTGTTGCGAGCCAAATTGCTTCAAGGCGCATCCGTTGCCCAAGCACCGAAAGTGACAGCCGGCCGCCTCGGCTGTACCGGAGCCCGAGTCTTATCTTCAAAAAGTAATGGCTAGGGTTAAAGGGGTCTCCTTGGATGAATGTCTCGTCTTAGAGGTCTCGCCGGGGTCGGGGCGATTGATTGCATGCCTCAAGCAGCGACAGCTTGATAACAGTTTTTCCGTTGATAGAACAGCCGGCAGGTGCTGTGCACCGCGAATTGTGATTGACTTGTGTACAGAGTCGGGTCGCAAGCAATTCCAGGAGATTTTGACCGAAGAAAATTTGATCTATGTTCATTTTTATCCGCCCTGTAATACTACAAGCCGCGCCAGGTTGCGTCAATTTGCAGGAGCCCCTGCAATCCTGCGGAACGAATCACATCCCGATGGAGTTCCAGGGTTGGGGCTAGCCGATCGTACTAGAGTGAGTGATGCCAATGCTTACCTGCGTGCTGTGGCTGCAGCTTGCAAAACATGTCACGAACGCGGAGTGCTTTTCAGCATCTGCAATCCAGAGTCAAGTTTCGTGTGGGCTACCAAACCTTTGCGACTTTTGCTTCAGGAAGTTCCTCTCTTCACGACGCACTTTCACCTTTGCAGCTACGACTCGCCCTTCAAAAAGGCTATGCGAATGTTGCACTCCCTGCCAAAATTTTTGGAGTTGCATCGTCCATGTGCCGGTGGACATGTACATAAGTTTTGGTCTAAGGGTGTAGGCTGCAAGTTCGACCGTGATTTGGATTTTCCTTGGGGCTTGTGCAAAGCTATGTCACAGCTTCTGCAAGATCAACTGCTTGACATGGGGGCCAAGCCTCTGCCTACTGACTTGAGTCAGGCAACACCCACCGTTGCAGCGGCCAGAGCTGTGGCTGGATGGCAAAGCAATAAGCGTGTCCTTCCTCTGGTTCCGGAGTTCAAACATGTTGTGAACGTCCGTGGCAGCTTCACTGCTGCGTCTATGCATGGCCTTCAAGTAGGCTGCAAACTCCCTGCACCATGGGAGGTACCTGCGTCTGCAAACGTTGACCCGTGCTTCGTGTCGTCCGTGCCACAAGGTGCCAAAGTCCTTCGCATCCTCACGGTGCCGGGGGATAGTTCAGAGGATGCTTCTGACAACTTGAGTGCAGGCCAGGCCGACGGGCAAGACGACTCGCCGGCAGCCAGTTTTCTTCACCGTACATGTTCGGACCTTCACTCTCCGCCTGAGGATGCTCACCCTGCTGAGAAGCTTGCTTGCATCATGTTACGGTGGAACACTCGCTTCAGCCAAGAGGAGATGCGAACTCTCTTGGACATGTTGCCGCAAAAACATCAGACCAGAGCCAGGGGGAGCTGTGATGACCAATCTAATCAGTTTCTGTGCGGAGCCTATGCTCATGGGCCCATGACGGGCTGCAAAAACTTGACGCGGGATATGCCTTGGTGCACTGCTGTGCTTTGCAAGCATGTTCGCGATAATGCTCCGGGTTTTTGCTTCTCTGCTGTGGGCTATCTGTGCAATGTGCGCGCAGAAGCCCATCGTGATTTGCACAATGAGCCAGGAACAAAAAACCTGATCATGGCAACGCATGCTTGTGCTGGCGGAGGACTGTGGCTCGAGGAGGCAGGTGGACCTATTGCAATGATCGTCGGGAAAACCCAACGTGCTGGGAGATTTCACGACTTAGCAGTTGGGAGACCCTTTATCTTTGAACCGAAGCGTTGGCATGCCACTCAACCGTGGCGAGGTGACAGAGGAGTGATCGTGGCATACACCCCAGTGGGAGTGACCAAACTTGCGACTGCCGACAAAGGGTTCTTAGAAAACTTGGGTTTCCCCTTAGGCCCCTCTTGTGGTTCTAGTGATGTGCCTCCCAGGGTCGCAAAAGTACAAAAAGGAAGTATAACTTTCGGCGTGTACCATGAGCCGGAGGAGTTCGTGGCGAGGGCGTTGAGCGTGCAACATCCGTGTCACTTGGAAAGCCTTTTGCCATCAGAGCTTGTCGAGGCCATACGGGCGAATCATTCCAAAGATGTTGCTACGCTTGGGCGAGAGCGAACTGAGATGCTCAAGAAATGGCTCGCTCGTGCTGAGGAGCTGGAAACTGCCGAAAGCCAGCTCAAGGGATCCTTCAGCTCCCATCGACGTCAAGTGTTGTGCAACAAGCGGCTGCTCTTGATGAAAGAGATGCTTGACAGTGTGGGACATGAGGACGAGGACTTGATATCTGATCTGTCAAAAGGTTTTGACTTAACCGGACCCCTGCCACGATCTAACGCCTTTAAGAATAAGTACCGCCCGGCAGCCATGGCCGAGGAAACGCTTAGGAAAAGTGCGGGTTTAGTTAGGGGTCAGGTTTTGGCTTCGGTTAAAAGTTCAGGTGACGAGATCGTGGATCAAGGCGTGCTTGCAGCCACGGAGAAGGAGTTGACCAAAGGCTTCATTGAGGGGCCGGTGAGTGCCAGCGACATCCCTGATGATGGGACGGTCACTCATCGCTTTGGAGTGATTCAAGGAGAGACCGAGGAAGGTCCCAAAGTTAGACCAATCGATAATTACTTGAGTTCGCTTGTAAATTCGGTTGTATCCCAAAGTGAACAAGTGCCCGTTCACACGTTAGACGTAGTTGCTGGCATGTTGGCGATGTGGTTGCACTTGTCTCCTTTGAAGTCCTTGCGTGCGGGACTTGTGTGCAAATGTTGGGACCTCAGTGCCGCGTACAAGCAACTGCCGCTTAGTGACAAGAGTTTCGAAAAGGATAGCTTTTTCGTAATCTTCTGTCCCCGCACTCGCAAGCACGTCATCTACAAGCAGCGGGTCATGCCCTTCGGGGCAAAAGCCTCAGTGACCGCCTTTATCCGTTGTGCGTTCGGGATTTGGCGGTTGGGGGTAAAAATGTTTGCCTTGGTCTGGAGTTTATATTTTGACGATTTCCTATCGGCCTGCAAGCCTGAGGAGCGCCGACATGTGGAAGTCGTGATCAGCACTCTGTTTCGGCTACTAGGTTGGGATCTTTCACTAGATAAACTTTTGCCTTACGACGTGTGCTGTAAAGTTCTTGGAATCAAGATTGACATGTCTGAAGCTCGCCTGGGGCTCTTCAAGTTGGCGAACACCGAAAAGCGTGTGCTTGAGTTGACTGCTGCCTTGGACGAGGTCTTGTTAGCTGGCAGGTTGTCGCATTCTGACTGCGAGAGGCTTCGTGGTAGGCTGCAGTTTGCTTCGGGCCAGTTGTTCGGTCGGAGGGCGAAGGTTGCTCTGCACCAGCTTAGCCGGCATCACGGAGGTCGGCTGAGTGAGGTCACTTCCGAGGCGTGCCGCTTCTTGAGGCGTCTGGTTTCGTCAAACCAGAGCCGCTCGATTAGTCGGCAACTGGGCAATGTTGTGCATGTGTATGTGGATGCATCTTTCAGCGATGAAGGCAAGCTTTGTGGCATCGGGGGCATGGCATATGACCATAAAGGCTCCTTGCTCCAATGGTTCGGTGAAAACCTTGATGCTTCGCTTGTTTCCCAAGTCATGACGTCCTTTGAGCGTGTCAAAGAGACTGTCATCTTTGAGCTGGAGGCTTTGGCGGTATATGTTGCGCTGAAGTTTTTCTTCAAAGCTCTTAAGGGCAAGAATGTGGTTGTGTTCACCGACAACGAAGGTGTTCACGGCGCCTTCGTAAAGTGCTGGACAGTGAGTCAGTTTGCAACGCATGTTATCGATGCGGTATGCGCGATTGAGGAAAGCCTTGGCTTTATGATTTGGTACGATCGAGTTCCATCTGTGAGTAATCCTTCGGATCCGCTTTCGAGAGGAGTGTGGAACCTGCCGACACCTGTGCGTGTTAGGCCTGCGGCAAAGTTCTTCGAAAGCCTTCTTGAGGAGTCGAAGTCACGACCGAAGTGATGTGCACAAGTGGTGCGGCGGCAAGTAGTTTGGGCGCTCTTAGTGCCAAGACAGGGGCAGGGCAAGGCACTGCGATGCCCCAATCACGAGAAAAAGCGAGCCGCTAGTGTGAGCCGAATTTTTTATTATTTATGAAGTATATATTCGGACGAAGAGTGAAATATCCGGATTTTTTATATGTATACTCTTTTGTATATATAGAATATGGAACGCCCGGTTGACACATAAGGGAAAATAAGACGCAACTCCGCGAATAGCGGATGAAGCTTTATTTTCCCCTGTGTCAAAAATTTTGGTTTGTCAAACAAACTCAAAATTTAGGGCGTGAGTTTTGTCAAAGTTTTCCCAACACAAGACATGACAGTTCATGTTTGAAGAATCTTGATGAAGTCTTTGTTACGCCGTCAGTTGGCTCCACAGGGTGGTGGGAGGGTAAGAAAAAATTCCCGGCATAAGTCCGGGAAAAAGTTTTGTCCCACCCAGCCCGCCCTGGTTGTTACTCGCACAAGTTGTGCTGCGAAGTTCGCAATGATGCAGGTGGCATCTTTCTTTGACAATGCATGTTGTACAAATGCGTTTTGTTGCAACTGAACAAAGAGCAAAGCGCCCTGGGCCCGAGCCCAGGGCAAGGCACTGCGATGCCCCAATCACGAGAAAAAGCGAGCCGCTAGTGTGAGCCGAATTTTTTATTATTTATGAAGTATATATTCGGACGAAAAGTGAAATATCCGGATTTTTTATATGTATACTCTTTTGTATATATAGAATATGGAACGCCCGGTTGACACATAAGGGAAAATAAGCAAGTCGTACGCAACATGAGTTCTGGAGGTTTGGCTTTGCTTGTTCGTCCAACGTATCGTTTTCGGCCCCCACCAATTTTCAACCCAGCCAGAACCCTTCCGAGAGTCCAGTGTGCAACCGGCCATGAACTATTGCAAAACAATTTCGTTAACTCTGCGATATCAAGAAGGTAACAGATAAACATTGATTCATTCGGTTCAGCTTAAAACACAAAAGGTTTATTGTACAATATGATTGAACTCCAAACCCAGCATATTGCTGCAAAGTGCTGTGTGTGAGGGCGAGATCGCTCGTAGTCGTACCAGAATGCATGTGATCCGTGCTCAAGGTGGCATGTGGGCAAGGATTGCACAGAGGCATGCAATGCAGAATCCACGGTTAAAGTTTGGGTTGCAATCAAACTTTTCGAGCTTTGAGCCAGGACAGAAGATAGACTGTCTGAGATTGTTATTCAAGTGTCATGCTTGAATTCATTCGTGCGCCCAAAATTCTGAACTCAAAATCCCAAACCGCTTACTTCCAGTATTCTATATTCAACCATGAGGTGCACCTCCATTCGCACGTAGAGTGGCAGTTCCCAAAGCCGCTATGGTAGAATGAGCACGTCAGATGCATTGTCGGACGAGACTGCGTGTCAGAATCACACTGTGACCATTGAAGGTCATAATGTCCCTGATGATTTTGTAGAGGTTGACTTGGAAGAGGAGGTGCCAGATGAAGCAGAAAGCGGACTTCAAGAATCTGATTCTGAAGACTCTGGAGACTCTGGAGAACCGGCCAAGCCAGCACTTGCAGCTCTCGTCGGGCTCATCGAGAGAATGCAGCCAACTCGACCCGAAATCCTGCGGGCAGTTCCAACGCATCAAATTGTAGCCAGGTTGGGACGTGTCTTCTGGGCTCGGAAAGACCGAAGCTTCTTCAGGCTCAGCAAAGTCACGCAGGACTACGATGAGTTTCTGAGTCATAGTTGGCAGGTTGCAGTCTGGAAGAAGGTGCTGCTATTGATGGTTATCAAGAACGGCTTGCCTTCGGTTGTCGTTGGAACTCTGACTTCCTTGCTCATGGTACTGTTGTGGCAGTTAGATTTCTTGCCAGGCTTTCCGAAGCTTGGTCAGAAGTGGTCTTGCTGGTGCTCTTCCGTTGGACTGATCCTGGCACTTTTCACGCTGGCTTTCTGGAGACCACGTGGGTCAATTTTCGTGGACAGGGTGTGCATCAATCAGTTTGATCCACACATGAAGACTGAAGGCATCATCAATATTGGCGCAGTGCTACGGGTTTCTAAATCCCTGCTGGTCCTTTTCGACGATTCCTACGCAGATACTTGGTCAATGTTAGGGATCGGTTTTGCTGTGTTCGGTTTGGCTTTCCATGCAATATCTATGTCTATATATTTTGTAAGGGAGCTCATAACAAGAATCTTCATTCTTTCCTTCGTGATATGGACATGGACCAAGGAGAGGCTGTGGTGCTTGTTCGAAATTGCCGCATTTCTCAAAGCCCATCCAGAAGCTGCGGAGAAGCCCTACATCCTGCAGGTCAAACCGATATTGTTGGGCTTTATTATATGTGCAACTTGTGTTGGTGCGTTCGGAGCGGGTTTCTTTGCCGTCTTCAGCCCGTTCGAAGATCGTTTCTTGATATGGGGAGTGATTATTGCCTTCGTTACCGCCGAAGGTATGTTCCTTGTTCATGCTTTCCGCAAATATTATAGGTCTCTGGAGGCTATCAAGAGTCAGATGAAGAACTTCCGGCTGCGACAAGCGGAGTGCTGGTGTTGCAGCGTCAACCATATCCACCCAGCCAGTGGTCAGCGCATCCAAGTCTGTGACAGAGAAATCGTTAGCCAGTGCGTGACAAGCTGGTTCGGATCTGAGCAAGAGTTTGACGAGTCTGTCCGGTCTTTGGCAGCCCGGGCTCTCGAACAGCAGCTGGGATATGATGCTTTTCCTTATCTCTGGATGCTCGGATCTTTCGTGCCTGTCTGGTGGCCCTTCATGGACTACCTGGCGGTGTATTTGCAATGGGAAGAGAGCCAATTTCTGGTCCCATACTTTGTGATTCGATTCCTCGCGTATTGGCTTTTCTGCCTGCCGCTGGTTGGTACCGTCGGGATTTTTTTCGCTCGCTGCCTCCGACGGAAAGCACAGTGGATGTGCACAGAACTGTTCCTGGATGCGCTGGTAGGTGTGCTCACGTTACCCACATTTCTTGCCATTGTAGCATGGCAGTTGTACACGGAGATTACGTTTTACAGAGAAGATGTTCAAGATGGGCTCTCTGAGACACTGGGATCCGTCGTTTTCGCCGCTGGTTGCGGCGTGGCACTCTTTGCTACAAGGAGAGGGTTCCATTTTGCAAACAACCGTCTCTTCAAGAGGCTAGGAGCCTGAGCTCACAGACATCTTCAATCTTCGTTGTCTTGATGCGTCTAACAGTTTTGAGTGTTCTTTTATATTGCCGATGTTTGATCGCATTGGCGAGGCCCCTGAAGGGGGGTTACCTTGCTGCACGAACTAGAGTCACCACCCACCACCACGTGTGAGGAAAAAGCGACCTGCCTTGCTGAGCTTTTCAGGATTCCGTACTATACTACCATATACTACTATATATTTACTATAGTTTATATTACTATATATCACAGTATAAAACTATATAAAACTATATAAAACCATATTCAACTTTACATTACTGTATACTATATACTACTATGTATCACTAAATATAGCTATATATAACTGTATACTATTTATACTATAGCACTGTATAGGATTATTGTAGCGTCATGGACTATGGTGTAGTATTCAGAACTGCGAGTTGTTGTCACGCATGGAGTTGCTGAACTCGGAGCACACCGGGAGGCTTAAAGAAGCATGTTGCAGGCTCGACGGTATGCCCTAACCCTAAACCCTAAACCCTGTACCATATGTGTTTGTGACAGCCACTGTGTCGGCGCCCCGCCCGAAAATCGATATTGGCATGATGACATCATGTTGAAGTGCAGTGCAAATCTGGTCACTTAGCTTTCAGGCCGCCACGGTTTGCACATATCAACCAATACAAGTTGAGTCAACGTGTCATATCGCATTTCATGAGCTTATTGCAGAAAGTGTGGCGGACTGAGGCATGAACAGCTTCTACTTTGAGCCTACATAGCAGCTGCGAGCGAAACCGCTCTGACACCACGTCGCCGACGTTCGTGACTTGCTGGCTCCAGGGACGGGTGCGTTTATGGGAATGTTCTTTTCGATGAGAACACGGTGGGTGTTGCTGTCAGCAGGTCACATGCGTTGTTTGCATAGCAGCCGGCAGTTTCTAAACCGTTTGCTTACACACGTCATTGGGACATCCGCAGAAGCTCGCGTCGGCGGGACACATGGCATTTCTGCAGCTATAGCTGCATTGTTATACATCGCGTTCTGGAGGGGTGCAGACTTCGCCATGGACTTCACGCGCATCGCATCTCCCGCGGGCATGGTCATTTGCACATGCTCCGGCTCGTGCTTCTGGGCTTGATCTGCGCCAGTCTCAGATTTCAGCTCTGCTGTGGCGGGATCGCAGGCAGCAGACCGAGAATCCGGACTTGTTAAATCCTCGGATTGGCCCCAGTAAGCGTGCACTGGCCATTCTTAAGCCCCCGAGCTCACAATCCATGTTCCTTGCAATAAGTTTTCGAAAGAGTTGGCGAACGGTCCCACATCATATCGTGGTTTCATCAAGGACGGATGACATTGTTAACATCCCCATGTTGGAGCCTTCTTGAGCGGCCGGAGCTTTTTCACACATTGTGCGGGCTTGGTTGGGGCTTGAGTCAGGTTGTTATGTCAACTGGTTCCTCTTGCGGAATTCCAAGCTTTCCAAGGGGTTCGGAACAGATTTCCAAATGAGCCTGCTATTGTAGCTAGCATACGAACCGCAGAAGTGCAGCCGACCGTCTTGGGTGACATTAAGACTCTACACGCCTACTTTAAGAATGGTTTGGGAACGACTGCGGAGGTGTCCGCGAAGCTCTTGGCCAGATTGTGTCTGGCTCGGCTCTGCTGGCTGTTCTTCTAGACGATACTTCGAGCATTGAAGGTTTTACGGTTTAGGGGTTCTATTCTCTTCGACTAACACCCCGCTTGTATCTGGCGTGTCGAAATCTTGCCACTTGCTCCCGTGGTCCTGGGATCCTCCAATAGCTCGCCGAGCAGCAGTCCTGAGCCGAAAAGGACCCCTAAATCCTAAACCCTAAACCCTAGACCCTAAACCCTAGACCCTGAACAGTACCCCGAAGCCGACAACTGAAGGCCCCCGACCGCCAGTGGCGCATCGTCAACGCCGAGTTCGGGGCCTCGGGAACACAGCTTGGGGGGGGGTTTAGGGTTTAGGGTTTTCAAGGGCAAGGGGTTGTTGTCTGGAGTTGATAAGGTTTTGTGCGTGGTGTAGGGGCTTAATTTCGTTTTCCTGAAGAGTTACCCACAGGCGTCACCATGGGGGCCTTGCAGGCTGTGGCGGAACAATGAGAGACACTTGCTGAGGCTTAAGTGTTACAGCATTTTGTTGCAGATTCTGTTATGCTGCGCGTGCTATAGCCTCATTCTCGAAGTTTAAGCTCGAACAAAGCCTTCAACCCCAAACTCCCACGCGGCCCCGCAAGGCCGTTTCCACGCACAACGTAGCTGAATACTCACACACTGAAGATGCCCGGCAGCCTTTACACTGAACTGACAGTGGTCGAATACAGCTCCATCTGGGGCGTCAAGCGCTCAATTGCCAGACTCCAACACACCGTGACGCTATCTTCGCACGAATCTTCAGCCGCTTCGCATGAATGCGATTAAATCGTCGGATGTAAACCTCCTAACAGGAACGTGCAAAGCATGAACGCTCGGTTTCAGAGTTTCCGAAGATAGGAGGTCTTAACATAGTACCCTACATAGTAGGATTCTTATTAGAATGACCCCAAGATAAGGTTACCTCTTAATTTTTCGAAAACTCCCCGCTCGGCCAGGCCCTTGGTGGGCTTCTGGTCGGTCGTCGGAACCTCGGAAGACGCCGAGGGTTCCGGGGGTTTTGAGTCCTTGTTGGTTTGGGTTCTGGATGAGGATGGGATGTAGGGTTCCTCACACCCCGAAGCCCTGAACCCTTAGCCCCGCGCTTCATAGAGCTCCAGACGTTGCTTTGTTTGCAGTTCACGACTTCCTCGCTGAGGTTGAGGTTGAGTTCCACTCGCGCGTCGCCCAGTACGGGAGGGATTCAGGTTTAGGGTCCTTGATTTTAAACCGGACGGCCCTTCGCAAAACCTACAACCCACCCTTACAGCCTTAAACTGTAAACCCTCCTCCAGAGCCTAAGCTCTAAAGGTCAGTGGTGCTTGGGTGGGACATGCCGTCAGCTGCTTGTCATCGCTGCCATGCATGTGTGCCCTGCCTGCAAGGCATTTCTAATCGCTGGAGAGGTGAGCAGAAAAGCGGCATTTCCAAAGCCCTACACGTCCAAACCCCAAACCCGAAACCCTAAACACCCCTTCGGCCTCAAACCCTCAATCCTTTGATCCTGAGCAAAGCGGATCCTTACAAAGGGTTCACCGTTTATAGTTCATGCGAAGCTGTGATCTTCTCTATGTAAGCTTGCCGGAGCCTTGACCCAAAACATCCTTCCACGACGGTTGGGCTATGACCATCAGGTCTTCTAGCTGCGATGAGATCGTGGGTGGAGCGCCGATTGCTTCAGGCCCCTGTGTCGTCGCGAAGTCTCGGCTTGAGGATCTTCATCCGACCAGCCTTTCTTGTTGATATCTCAAGGGTTTGGAGTTGAACGCTTGGGGGACTCTAGTGGTATAGCTTATATAGTTTTCTACTAAAGTGCCATGGAGTTTGAATTCCGCAGACAGACCTCCCTGAACCTCCACTCCAAGTCCGAAGACATCTACCTCACATAATCTTTCTTTCCGACGACACTGAGCCCTGACTCCGGAAGCTGACGGGAGCTCCGACCCTGCCAGGGTCAGTGCTGATCAGCTTGCAGCGGCCCTGAGACCGGGGTTTTGGGATCGTAGCCCTAAGCCCAAAGCCCTAAAACCCTCGAGGCTTGCGGGTTCGGGATCCTTCGAACATAGTGCGGTAGAATTTCGCATTGAATTGAGCGGATGATGCAAGATCCTAAGCGACAGCACCCGCATGCAACGATAAGCCGAACCTTCGTCAACACAGAAAAGGCAAACATTGAACCCTGAATCCTAGAATAGGGTTTGGGGTTTATTAAGCCAAAGAAGTTACACGGAAGCTTTTATTGCCGTCCCTCCGCCACTCTAGCAGGTTCTCGTCCGCCGAAGTGTCCCGGCATTTCGGCCCAGCTGCACCGGCTAAACATCCCCGAGAGAGAGATGCCTCCTTAAAGGAATCCCCAAACCCCAAGGTCCGCATCCAAACACCAGCTGGGGTTTAGGATAAAGGTTCCCACGAGGCTGCGGTGAATACCCAGAGCCCCTCCATCATAAGCCAGAGCTCCTACTGATCTGCACTGCATGAGGTCGGGTGCTCACGACGTGAGTCTGGCAGTGGACGGCATCTCAACGCCAGTCTGCAACTCAGGGCCAAGCCCGAACACCGTGAAGCTCTTCATCTAAAACCTACCTATAGTCTCCATTGTAGTTCGATCCTAAACGGTAACCACCAAAGGAACTACCATGGAGACTATAGGCAAACCCTAAACCCCAATCCTTACCTTCGCCGACTCGGAAGTCGCACCGAGCACCGGGTCTGGGGTCTGCACCCGAAAAACCTCCGTCGCAACTCTCATTCCCTTTCTTCCGGCCTTGTTTGGGTGCTCTTATAGGAATCCGAAGTGCTGCCCACTGTGCTCTTGAAGGTGGTTTCGGCTGGCTGGTGGTGCTGGCCTCAGGTTTGACAAAGGAGGGTCTCGAGTGGTGGAGCTCGAGGTACCGCGTGCGGGGTTTCAGGAGTGTTCTTCTGTCCGATTGCCCGAAAGCTCAAACACCTGAAGGTTTATGGCTGGTCTGCTCTTGACTCTTCTTCTGTCTCGTCATCTTCATGCTACTCCTCATCCTACTCCAACTCCTACTCCCACTCCTACTCCCCTACCCTGCTCCTACTGCTACCACTGCATACCCAGAACTACGCCACGCCCGCCGTTGCAAGCTGGTCGTCTTCGGGGTTGAGCTGGGCGGGTGCTTTGGCCGAAGCATCCTGGCCTTCCTGCGCTTGTTCGCGCGCGCCCGCGCACGCCAACGCGCACCCTGGTGTGCCACACGCGGCCCTCCGCACCCACGCGTGCACGCTGTGGGAGCTTCCAGTCAGTGAAGCGGTGGACCCACTTGACGGGCAGGAACTCGCTCTAGCGGAGCGCTTGGCAGGGTGGCCACCCCACCCGCCTCAGTCCAGCAGGCTGGGGGCGGGACCACCGCCGTAGACCCACTCGTAGAAGTAGCCGCGTGAAGACAATGCACAGACTCCCAGCGAGTAAGCGAGTAACAAGGTGCAGGGGGGTGGGAAAACATTTGACCACATGTTGATAGCTTCGCGCCGGAGACTGTGCTTCCATTGCCGTTGCGCAGGGCAGATGCGGGGCCCATGGCCCATGGTCATGGCTGCAGCGTTGCAATCGATGCTTACGGCGATCGCTACGCTGCCTGCCCCCGGTCTCTTCGCCCGGCGGGCCAAGCCGCTTGAGCATGGATCAGGGTTTTGCGTGAAGCAGTTGGGCCAAGTCGTTCTGCAGCAATGGCTCGCTCGGACGCCTGCCTTGGTCTCGTCGGCGCGTGGGCTTCGCCTACGGTGCCACCCGGCTCGACGAGGCGCTATGTTGCGACGTCGCCCTGGTTTCGGCGCTGACACGCGAAGGGCGCCCACAGGTCTCTGCGACCACCGGGGCCGGTGCTGCCCGTGCTGTCGCAGAACACCGCAAGCGCGGTGCCTACCCTGAGCTCCTCCGGCGAGGACCGCGACGGCCGCGCTCGCGTGCGAAACCGGCGGGCGCTGACTCGTAGCTCAGCTCATCCGCGTGCGTGCTCTGCGAGCCCCCGCTCCGCATCGTGGGGCCGCCACCCAAGGCTGGTACCGGCAGTGGTGGGCCCTGGTAAGCGTGGTTGTGCAAAACACGTTTGCTGCCACTTTGCTCGGGTCTCCGCCCATCGCCGCCTCATGCTTGGTGCACAAGCACTGCCTCTGCAGGACGTTCTGCATGACGTGTGCCCGCCTGTGCCCAACTGCTTGCCGGCTCGCTGAGCCGCTGCAGCCCCAAGCAGCGCTGCAGGCCCAAAACAGCCCTGTAGTTCGCAGCTGCACTGGGCCCGCTTTTCGCCAGCAAAAGTAAAGATAAAAAAAGATGCAGTTGCCGATTCCCGCGAGCTACTCGCGAGCTTCTGCAAGCTGCGGGCTTGGAGGCCTGCTCGCGGTCGCGAACGGTTCACACCGGGCTCGGAGATTCGCCCCTTGGTCGATAAGATTCCTGCGTCGCACGCTCATATGCACTCGCAACCAACACCTCCGCGACAGCTCCTTGCTGACTCCCAGTGCGACCAGCAGAAGCAGGCTGCTTTACAGCTTGACGCAGACGGACTTGGGACTCCTGTCGTTGTCGTAAACAGGCGCGTAAAAAAAAACAAGATGCTACTACGGCGCCAGATGCTTGGGCGCTGCCAGCAAAGGTCCCCTCGCCGGCGAGCCATTTTGAGCCAAACCGCTTCAGCATGCATGGAGCAGGGTTGTGCGCTGTTGGGTTGATCCCTGTTGTGTTTGCTGTGGCTTCTCCGACCTGATCTTCGGTGAAGGAGTGGATCTCCAAATGCTCAGTGGTATCCCGAAAGTTCAGGATAAAGTTGCCGCTGGGTGCAACACATGCGTACTGCCGCTGCGCAATCTGGTCCTGTGGCACAACGAGTTCAGCCATGCAGTTGCTTGTTGTGGACGGTTACGCAAGCGCTGGCTTCGACTGACTTGCGCTTTGGTATACCATGGTGTACGCAAGACTTATCTGGCACAATCCAGTGGCTCCCAGAAGTTTCGACCACACTGCGGACATGCTGGGTTTCCTTGTGTGATGCCGATATTTGGTCCCGCACCATCTTCTTCGGGAGTCTCTCGCAAACAGGTTGGGGTCACCTACTTCGACGAACGGCAGTAAAACCCGTTTGCAACATCAAGGGTGTGGCTGGTGCTGCCTGTCCCAATGGACCGCATGCCGGAGTCGCCTCCACCTTTCCGAGATGCTTTTCACAGCCTTCTGCAAGCGTGTAGTGAGCATGCGAGACGTCCCCACACTTTGACTACCTTAACTAAAGTTGAGATACAAGCTGCGAGTTTCGCAGTGCTCTCACTATCTCTTCGCACAAACACCCTCTCCAAGATTGCCGATTGAGAACTTACGTTGACCTGTGTCAACATGTGGCGGGTCCTTCCTTGCCGGATGTCCCCGTCGATTTACTTTGGGCCTTCCTAACCACCTGGTGTCCACCAATAGCTTGGTCATCACTGGCCCTGATTTGCTGGAACGAGCACGCGTCAATATTCGAAGCTCTCAGTGTGTTCCTTGAAACCGCCGGCCTATATAGTTCACCGAGTCAAGGCCGATGCAGCACTTGAGGCTCTCAGATGTTCTTTGCGTGAGCAACATTGAGCCCAAGTCGGCGTTCCAGTCGTTTGAACGGGCATGTGGTTGTATTGGGCTTGAAATCAGCAAAGGGTCGATTGCTGGAGGAACTATGCCTGTGGCAGCATGTTCGTGCCATGCAGGAGGGACGCTCTGAGTCGCTCATTGTGGTGGCCTCAGACGTTGCTGCTTTCCGCTCTGCGCAAGTCCTGGCGGTTACCCCTTGGTCTCGTTTTCACCGATCGGCGTGAAGCCTTCGACATGCAGTGGCGGCGCAGATCCTTTTGAACCTGCATCAGTTGATCTCCTGCCTAGCTTCGTGGCACATCGCAGACGGGCCCCGGCAATCAAGCTCTCGCTCAGCCTGCTTCAGCATTGACGTTGGTACAATTGAAGCGCGAAAGCTGTCCCCGCTCCAGTTCTGCATAAGCATGTTTAGCGCAAGCTACCCTTGGCAAGCAGCTGATGCTCGCACGGCAGGTATGGGCGTTCATTCCCTCGATGGAGGCGGTCTCAGCTTTCCATGCGTTTGCCTGGCGGCAGCTATGACACCGACCATGCTGTATTCCATGGCGTGTGACGCCTCCATGTCGTGGTCGGAGACCATGAGTTCAGCCCCCAATGATTTGGTGAGGCTTCTATTGCTAGATATGGCTCCCTCTGTTCGCCGTGGGTTGCGCAGCTTGGTCGATGATACTCGGGTTCCTGTGGCATCGCTTGGTCATGCAGCTGCCGCGATTCGTGTCCTGAGTGGGCAGCGCCCACGGACCAGTACATGATGTACATGTACAAGGCCGGGAAGAACTGTATCTTGGCGCATGCTTATGCTTCTAGGTTTGTTGATCCTTACATTCAGCTCGGAGTATCCTTGGGTACTCAGTTTCCACGGAAGAGCACACCTCCAGTGCCGCCGCGCAGGCTGCGTGGGTGCTACGGTGGGGCGGCCTCATCGCTGTTGCTGCTGAGCACGCACTTGCAACCACGTTCCTCGAGCTCCCGCTGCACACCGAGCCTTGTGCTGGCTGGGCTTTGCCATGGCTTCTTGCACGTGACGCCCGATGGCAAACCGGGCCACAACCGAGCCTTGTCCCAGCCCGCCGTAGCAGGTGGTCGGCAGTGACTGCGCCCTACGGTGGAATCAGGTCCGTGCACACATCTGCCGGGCGAGTTGCTGCCGGCCCTCGAGCCGCCCGCACAGGCGCTGCTGCGTGCGCAGTCTGGGCCACGCGCTGCCGCATGGCTCGGCACTGTCCCCAGCGAGGCCGGGACAACAATCCCGCCAGATCGCATGCTCATCGCCTTGCGGCGGCGGTTGCGCCTGCCGTTGCCCGTCTCACGGGGCAGATCCGGGGCCCATGGACACGGCTGCGGCGCCGCGGTCGACGTCTACGGTGATGATTATGCTGCGCGGACGCCCGCCCCTGGCGTCGACCCGGATGATCGACGGCGCCTCGACTTCGTCGCCTACGGAGCGACGCAGCTCGGCGAAGCGCTGTGCTGCGACGTGACCTTGGTGTCGCCGCTCACACGCGACGGGCGCCCACAGCCCTCCGCTACCACGAGAGATGGTGCTGCCCTAGCCGTTGCTGAACGCCGCAAGCGCGCTGCCTACCCTGAGCTCCTCCGGCGAGGACCGCAACAGCTTTGCAGGCTCGCGTGCGAGATCGGGGGGCGCTGGAATGACGAGTCGCTCCTCCTCATCTCCCAGCTCGTTCGCCTCCGCGCCCTGCGAGCCCCCGCTCCGCTTCGGGGAGCTGCCACCCACGGCTGGTGCAGGCGGTTGGTGGGGCATCTTGAGCGTGGCTGTGCAAAACGCGCTTGTTGCCACTCTGCTCGGGTCACCGCCCATCAACGCTCCTATGCCTGGCGCGCAGGAGCCTGCCCACCCGCCTGCCGGCTCGCTGAGCCGCTGCGGCCGTAGTCTGCAGGTGCACTGGGACCGCACTAAGTCCGTGGGGACAAAAAGACGGCAAGTGCAAGCTGCGACGAGCTCCGAAGTGCAAACTGCCCAGGGCTCGCGGCACCATAGAGGTCTGCGAGGTCGGGTGGAGCTGCGCGTCTTAAAAACCGTGTGTGTGTGGAAAAAACAAAAGCGTACAGTAAATCGTCACACCGCCGGAGGAAACGGACCACCGAAAATGGAGGGAGGGTCGGCCAGGTAAACGTGCAAACAAAAGGCTGGGCAAGGCCGAGAACAAGAGCTGGCAGCAGTGGACGCGTAGGCAACGGGGCAGGCTGGAGGCACCTGTGTGCCGGACTCATATAGTGGGAGCCAATTCTAGCGCAAGTGAAACCCGGGTAGTTTCGCCGAGCACGTAGTCCGGAGGCGTGGCAGACGTGTGGCGTTAAACCGGGTGCGGGTCCAATATTAGGATCTGAGGTCTGCGGGTTGCCCAGACGGCGGGCAGGCAAGGCACTCTTCTTAATTTTTAACCCCAAGGGTTTCAATCATTTTCGGTCCCAAGCACCCATCCACCGCATCAAAGCCGAGAACCAAGCGCCACGCTTCGGGTTGCCGAGTGGCGCAAACGAACTCAATTTCCATGCTTCCGGCGACCATGTGATTGCCTGCCCTCGCACGGGCTTGTTGGCCAGGCGAGCCAAGCTCGTAGAACGAGCGCGTTGGGGAGACGATGGGGGGCAGCTTTGGCCGTATGCCGTGCAGCAGGCCGTGACGTTGGTGCCGCCCAGAACCCGACTGCGTGCTCGATCGCCGATGCGGCAGGGCCGGAGCCGGCTTCCGCTGCGTTAGCCGCAGTCGCTGATCCAGAGTAGGGCAGATCGATTTGACTTCGTTGGATCGGCGGCGCAAAAGGAAAAATGAAGGCCCGACTGAAGGATCCGAGGGTAATGCCTTGATCCGTGATTCGTGAGACACACGTGGATCTAGGCATGTTGGCTGAAGGCGGTGTGTTTGCCCATGTCGGGTGTACCAAGATCATAGCACAAAGGCATGACACGTATGAAGGATCAAGTGCTCATGCGTGAATATGTGTCAACCAGGTCGGATTGCGGTTATGTACTCGGCCCGGGGCTTACGAAGAGCCGCAGGTAACCTTCGCCGTTGCGTTGTGTTGTCATCACATCTGTGGTGCCTTGTTGCCTGTCGTCACATGTTTTCATCACAGGTGACCCTACGAACTTCGGCGGTGGATGTGCCCGGGCCTTGGCCAAGTACCCTCGGAGGTGCGTGTCGTCGAAGCATCGGGATGTTTCTGCAAGAGCCCAGGCGGTGGGAGAAGCTTGGATAGGACAGCCGACATGTTTTGGTGCATTTTTTTACATCGTTTGCGGGATCTTTGACGGAATTGCTGGCTTTGGCTCGCGACAGGGTACCACAGCCAATGCAGACAGAGAAATATGGCATTGCTTTAACATCCCAGACAAGATATGGCTTAATTAGAGATAAACGCTTACATGGTGCTGGATGGCGATTACCAAGTAGTGACGTAACGAGAATTCATGACACTTTTTTGTGCATTGCACTACCAGTTCTTCGTTTGCGACGCAACCATGGCGGGTCCGGAAGAAGAGGGTGGATTGAGCTTGGAGGCCGCGCAATTTGCAAACCAGTTTCTGGCGTGTTCCGCGGACACTGATGATTTCTGGCGCTAGGGGTTTTCTTCGTTGAGCATGTGTTTCGTGATGGCACGGCTTCTCGCGCATGGTTATGTAGGGTCAGGACACATGTGGGTGGTTGTCAAAATTATGGTTTATTGTTGGGCACCCTAAATATTAGGTGCCGTATTATAATAGAAACCCAAAACGGGACCCTAGTATTGACAAACCGGTCATGTAGAGAAAGACCGTGTCCTGGCATGCCAGAAGTTCTCAGGCGGTGGAGCATTGGTTGCAAGATCTGCTGCAACCGCACAATTGCCCCAAGAAGCGGCAGCAAGTCCACGCAGGGCGCACTGTCGCGTGGCTGCAGGAGCTAATGCGTAAGTCGGGATCTAGGAATGCTGTGGAATGTTGTATTGTATATCTATGACATTGCTTTAAAAAAAAGATGAGATGCCAAGCATGCGGCATTGGAGTGTGGAAACCCGTCGCCCAGTTGCTTTTGGAGTATGCCGACCGCATACGCGCAGCCGAGGCGCCAAGAAATTAAATTTCGACAATTTGCACAACAACGGTCGAAATGCATAAAAGCTTGTGGAGTTGCGGATGCTTTATGGCAGGCCGAGGAGGAATTGAACGTGAACTTCATCATGAGCCTTGTTCCGAAGTCCTTGTCATTTTGGTCCATATATGCCATAGTGCATGTTGGCTGCCCCAAACCATCGCCACATTGGCGGTAGCGGCACTTGGAGTCTTGTCACGGACATACACATTCAGCTGGAATACTATTCTGACGGCTTGACATGGCTCGACCCTCGAGCCACTCTGCGTCGCGTTTACAAGGGAACGTTCATGCATCCCCTGATTGCCAGACGGTGCTCAGGCTCTCCGGGGCCGCGCTCGGTGAGCAGCGGCTGAATCGTCCCATGCTGGCTGGGCAGGGAGAGAAATACCTGTAATGCAAGTTGGGAAGGGGAACCTTCGTGCCGGTTTGGAATGTTAAGCTGATTGCACGGCTGGACTGTGCAGTCCACGCAGTTTCGGCGGAGCGAGCAGGAGAATGTTAGAAGAAGCCGTACAATGTCGGAACCTTTGAAGTTGGGGTCTCATGTCGTAGTGGTTCAAGCCATACTGCAGCTCGAGGTGCAATACGAGACGGATAGGCTAGTGGCTAGCCTGGTCCCATGCCATCATCGAAAAGGGATTCTATCACCCAAGATTGCCACCGGAAGGTGTCGGACGTGAAGAAGCATCTTCAGACCCTACTGGGTGAAGAGTGCTGGCCATCCAAGTTGGTCTTCGAGGGCGCCTCCGCAAAGGGGAGATTTATGCTGTGAATTTTGGTATATTGTATCAATGCAACTTCCCGGACTTGCGCTCGGAACTAAGTTCAATAAGTTTAATTCATTTCATGTATCATTGTATCTAACAGCTTCTGCTGCAGAGCCTCACAGGTATTGGTTTTGGTGTAAAGAGCCCTCTGAAGCTGGAAGTTCCTTGCATATGGGCGATTCTCTTCAAGCCGTTGCGTTTGCATTTCGTGTGCTTGTTTTGCGGCTTCAAGGGTTGGGGTGTAGGGTTGCACAAGTCCTGATGCAAAAGGGAGGCTCAAGGTTAGTGCCCGAATGCAGCTGCATGTGACAAGCGATATCTACATATTGCGGTTGTCAGGTAAGTCGGAACAAAGGATACATTGTCTTCTTGCCCGGCGAAGTGCTCAGATCCCTTCTTAGTGAGGCACAGGTCCAAACAGGGCTCTTGAGGTTTACGGTCACAAAGTCCGACAAACATCATTGAATGTTTCTGGCAGGGACCATCCTGGATGACCATCAGACAGTTGGCAGAAACTGGGCTACATATTTCACATGTGGAGCTAGATCTCGCCTTTGCTTCGTTTGACCTGCACCGGGAAGATGGGAGAGGCTTGACGCGACGGTCGAGGGCCGGCGTTTGACCATGTAAGGACCAGGAAGGAGCACCCTCAGCCCCAAGCCAAGTCCCGACACCGAAGGGCTGCCCAAAGTCCTCAACCACGAACCCTGCTGGAAAGCGTCGGCGCTTCGCTGTGCCTGGAGTTCCCCACTTCGAGTTTAAAATTACGTGCCGGTGCCGGGGCTTTTTCAGGGATAAGCAAGCTAAGCCCAAGGGACGTGAACCCCTAGAGCCTCAAGCAGAGGCTTTAGCCTGAAAGGTCGAACTGCTGGGTTTTGTCGGATCGTTTTTTGGATATAGTTGGAAGAAGCGGCACGGGAGGTTTTGTTTCGTCCTTCTACGATTCTTGAGAAACATGCTGTAGACCTGCTGGCTAGGTAAATGAGGGGCTCGCTGGGGTTGAGACATGCACTAGATGGGAGGGTGCCCCGAGACCCCAATCCTTGTTCAAAGCCACAACCTTCTCCGCTGCAGCACCTGGGCTGTGGCGAGTTTCTCTTTGTCGTTCGAGCCAAGGCGCCGGCATTACCTTTGATTCGACGATCCAGGCCGTAGATGGCCGTGGGCTGGCAGATGAAAGTTGGCATCATAGCGATTTAAGCAGCCATCGTAGCAACATGGTGGGTGTGGCTTAGAGGATCCTAATATAGTACCCTAAATTTTAGGAATCCTTACCATAAGGACCCCAATGAGCTCTGGATTCTGGGGGCGGCCCCCGGGAGGGCTTCGAGGTTGGGGTTTTTTGCGAGTTCAAAGTGCCCTTTGTGGATGTGGCCAGTAGGGTTTGGGGTTCAGGAGGCATCCTTTCATGCAAGCCTGCAGCAAAAGGGGTTTAGGGTTTAGGCTAATGGCTAGGTAAAGTACTCGCGATTCGCAGGCCTTGATTGAGCCAGGGTGAGTTTGTTCACGACTCATGTTCTTTTCCCGCTGTGCTAGCGCCTGGGCAGAGTCCTCGGTTCTGTGCTCAGTGGGGGTGCTGGCATTCAGTCCAGGTATTTTAAAAATGCGTACACTGCCCGGCGCGAGTCAGCTCTCCTGGCGTGACGTTGCAAGCCAGTTGCAAAGAAGGTTTGAGCGCTACGGACACAATAAACAACAACCCGGATCTTTGGGGCCTCAACCGTACTTATGTCGTAGCTTCAAGCTGTACTTCGAGGATGCAAAGAGCGGTGAACCTCCTCACCAGCGAGCCAGCACGTCCCCTCGTTGAGACACCCTAAGCCGAAACCCAAACCGTAAACCCGAAACTGCAGGTCATCGTCCAGCCAGCTGCTTACCTGGTCGAGAAAGCTGGTGTCAGCATTGCTGCCCAGCTGGTTAGGGGCTGATAGGGGCTGCTCCTTGAGTGGAGGCCCTTTTGTCTTACCGTTCAGGGCTCAGACCCTAAAGCTCGAAAGCTTTGGGTTTGGGACTGCCTCCACCCTACAGTGCTCAGGGATTCTGTGGTTAGTCTGTGGTTCAAGGTTTCTTCAGGGGGTGTCGCGAGCCTTTTATCAGGGCGCGGAAGATGGTGTCCCTCTGAGTCTGAACAATCTTCACCGACTCAGCCCCGAAGCTCTAATCTTTGAAACCTTCCGAAAACAGCCCGCACTGCACGCATGCGACTCATTGCTGGCAGCCTTGCGGAGATGTTGGAGCGGTTTGGGTTCAGGGTCCCGCATTCGGCATGTAGGGTGCAAGGTCTGGTCTGCCATAAGCTGCAGTTGGAGGTCGGCCACCTTACTGGCATCAGTAAATGAATGGAGGCCTTTTAGCCTATCCCGAGTGTTTTTGGATCTTTAGGAGGTAAGGCAACACTTGGATCTCAGGTGAACGGCTACTACTTCAAGTCCTCCCGGCGCATGAACGACGCCGTATTGTTCACCAACACCAAGGGGATCATGCTCTTCAGGCCCAGCAGAACTCACCGAAACCTCCGAACATCTGACTTTGGATTCAGCCCTGTACCAAAGTCCTCGAGCTCTGGGTTTCGTGATTGAGAGGTCTGCCTCCGAAGCAAAAGCCCCAGAGCAGCAAGCCCAAGACCTTATTGGCATAGCCTCTGTGTCAGGACAGCACACCGGCGACAGGTGCGTGAAACACTTGCGTATGTTACGCTAGGGTTTAGAGTCCTGCTTAGTCCCCTGGTGTTGCAAGGAACCGATAGCTCCATGATGCGCAAATTCTGCCGGTAAACCCAAACCGTAAACCCTCAAATCCCAAAGCCTTCAACCTGAAACCTACGTGCACCCTCTCAACCCTGAAACAACCTAAAACCCTAAGCCTTAAAGCCCTGAGCCTGCATCTGCTGGAAGGTACGTCATGCGGCGGGGCACGCCGTACTGGCATCTGGGCTAGGGCGCCGGGCTTTCAGAATCTGTGATCCCCAGAAAGAAACACCTGAGAAAGACAAGTCGGGCGCGGGATTAAGGTGTACCGTGGTTTTAATCAAAACACAGAGGTTTCTGGTGATTTTTTGTCGGAATCGGGTGCCTACAGTGCTTACCATAAGATCAGGTGGTAAAGCTGAAACATGTAGGCCCCGCGCCCGGCATAGGTGTGTTTGGTAAGTCTTTCGTGCGGTGTCATTGGTCTTTTGTTTGGGTTTCAGGGGTAGGCCCTGCTGTTGAGGAGTGTTCGCTGGCACACAATCCAAGCCCATGCTGAAAGGGGTTAGAGTTTGAGAAATGTGCCCAGCACCCGGGGGCATCTTAAGGATTCGGCCGTACTTAAGAGCCGAAGAATAGGTATTTCGGTAGGATTGTAAAAAAGAAGCAAT